AAACACTGTTCTGTTTATGTGGATGTATAGATAAGTATTCAGTTTATGTAGATGTATAGATTAGTGTTCAGTGTATGTAGGTGTATATATTAAATGACCATTGTATGTAGATGTATATATTAGCTAGGTGATCCATACGTCGATGTGTCGAGAATAAGTGACCAGTATGTATAGATTAAGTTCCCTTTCACTGTGTTCAGTGGTCGTAAATTAAAGTGACCAGGAAGTGTAAGTGAATTGATTACATGTTTAGTATATGGAGTTGTACGGATTAATGTTCAGTTCATGCATAGATTAAGTGTTCAATGTGTCTACAGGGTATGAATAGTATACCACATATCCGTTCATCGCTTCCGTCTTGACATTCACTGATACCATTACAAGCATATTGCCATGGCAAACACCCATTGCCGTCTTCACACTGGAAATCATAGTCTTGACATTCACCTACGGTATCAACACACAAAATCACAAACTATGATTATATTAAAGGCTTAGATCAATCACCCATTATTCATCGTGAACTTTTATAGATAATTAGATAAGAATAATGTGTAACTTACATGGACCAGAGTGCACGGTTAAATCATCAATGGAAATCGGAATATAATTCGAATGTCCTGCAATCACTACTGAATAAAACGGGTTTTGATTGCGTGAATATAAGAATCGCATCAACGTCCAGTCACTCGTTTGGTCCGATGTACTCCCTATGTGCATGCCCAATGACTCATTGTCTATCCTGTCTATCACATTTACATTCAGCTCGAAAGAGTCATGTACAGAACCATCCGCCTGATACCAAAACGCAACACAAGTAACGCTATTGTTACCATGCGTACTAGAGTAAATTGGCGTAAACAGATACGCTGATCCGGAATAACCAAGGAAGTGCATGTAATAACCTGCAATATGTTTAAAACAAATAGGATTATAATAAAGTAATCGTGATCAATAAAACTATACTCTATATATGCGAATACTTATTTTCTGAATGTATATCGATAAGAGAATAACTGTTTGGTGGCAGGGCTTATATAGTAAATCGGTACAGATTATGAAAGTGTTACAGACTTGTGAACAATTTGAGACAAAATAAATCATGCGAGCTTGTTCTTATTCAATTTGAATTGACTCTCAATATTCATACAAATTTGAAAATGTGACCCTGCATAAAGAAAATCACGGGGAAATAAAATTACAATGAATTTTATGAAGGTGTTAATATTTTTATTAAAATTTGTGAAATATTTATAAAATATTTACCCTGGAAGACCCACAAGCTTCATGAAATCTAAAAAATACTTTTTGACTGGCTAGTCGAAATTTTTCTGGTATCCTTCCGACTTATTGAACGATTTACTGGCGGTCACCCCAAACACGTTGTGATTGGTCAAGACGTTTCCAACAATCATACGAAATTTATAGAACATTTATGATGATTAGTTTATTTAAAAAAATATTCACGCCTTCGTGAAATTCTATGTACAGCAGTTGTTATGATAAGACAACACGCATATCCAAATGAGCTGATCTACTCTTAGCATAAACTGTTGTATGGCCATGTAACGTCAGTGATTTTACGTGACCTGAACAGCGTAGTCCAAGCTTGTTTACAGATTTTACGTTCGTTTTTACGTTTAGTTACGTTGTTACAAAACGTTGATTCAGCCTTATATCACCTATTCTTTAGAAGTTTGGGGTAGTACATACCCGTCACATCTTAAAGTTATACATACCACACAAAACATGATAGCCAGAATTATAACGTTTTCCGACTTTACTGCGCATGCACCACCAATTTTTAATACTCCCCAAATTCTTGATGTTTTTAAACTTCATAAGTCATTACTTTTAAGTTTTATGTATGATATAATTCATGAGAATCTCCCACAATCAATGTCAACATACATTTTGCAGTATTTACATCATAAATATAGAACACGACAAAGATGTCAAAATGATTTACTTGTACCTAGATTGAACACAGTAACGGGGACATTTGCAATATCTTATTTAGGGCCGCACTTTGGAACAGTATATCAATTTCTTTAAGGTCTAAACAAAAACTTATATTCAAAAATACTATTCGGGAAAATTTAATGTCAGAGTATTTAGAATAGAATTAATATTTATTATAAATGTATGTATATACATATATATATATTATTATATTAACATATTTGTGTATTTGAAATATATTGATGTGTAACCTACTGTCAGTCTTAACTTAAGTCATCAAATTCAAGTTATGTCAGGGATCTGACTCGACTAGCTTTTAAGCTATTTCAGATTCCATTTTACCTAGACTGATGTACAATTTTGTGTATTGTATGAAATATTTTCTAGGTAAATAAATTATTATTATATATATTATTATTAAGTGTAACAAAATTGGATTCAGGTTATCATGGTAAATTGAGACCAACATTCCATTCTTGTACGTATACAAAGACCGAAAAACATTACCTGGTACTCTTACTGAACAATCTTTTACCCTAAATATGGTGCTCCAATACCCACAATGCAAATGGAACTTTTAAAATTGGCCAATCGTTAGACATTTCAACATTTGAAGGCGCTCATACATGTATACATCGATTAATCATGTCGCACTACGCGACATCCGTATTGCTCGATTCAGGGCGCTATTTACCTTCTCAAAAATCCGACACGCATCGTTTCGTCATTTTTTCCAAAACATAAACTAACACAAGAGGGCGCCACGTCTACCAAATAAATAAAATATATAACATGTTTACCACGTTCAGATTATGTTGGTCTCGCTTATGACGTCACTTAACATATGTTGCTGACACACATACGCATATCAGCTGATTACATACTTACCATACCCAGTTGTATGGTCGTGTATTACACCATTCAATGATGAATAGTTGGCGACTCGTAACCATTGGTAACCGCCAGTCATGCTTTGTGTAATACCGCATATATCAGCATCTTCAAAGTCACACGTGACGTCATACGTGGCAGGCGTCGCTGTGAATGATTATAGAACCATTAGATACTGGGGAGTATTGAACAGCTGTGCGAAATTGAGTTAACTGAAAATCTATACATGTCTTGTTAAAGGACGGTGATCGATTTTCCCACAATGCATTAGAAATCACGAGTACGAGTTTTTACTTGGGCGCAACGTGCACTAATTACAGCCTGCGACTCTTCACATTCACCTACCAATATCTTCCAATCACCAATGAAATTATATAGTCAAAACCTAGTAACAGTGAAGGTCGAAATTTGTGCTGATATGAGCCCCATATCTTGCGCATACGCGGCGCAACGACCGCCGCCCTTTAAAGGAATTACACAAGTTACGAAACCCCGCGATATGTCATATTCTTACCTTGGTCACATGATATCCCCGAATATGGCCAAGTACATTCACAGAAAGTTGAATAGTCGTCACTGTAGCGGCATGTGCCGTTAATACAAGCTGGATTGCACGAAGGAGCTGTAAGTGAATGACACCTCAATGTTTAATGTTTGACAGAAGTTCATGGTTGGGTATTCCTCCAACACCGTAATATATCTTTTGTGCTGTTTCCTTGACGTGGTTGTTCTTAGCATTAATAGTTGATTTGATCACATAAGAATATATCCACCATCCATGACATTTAAGATTTGATTGAAATATTATTCATTTAATAATTAATTACCTGACGCCAAATCACACATGTAAAGGATAAGACATGTATTTTAAGCGTTCAAGCGAACTCTGAAGGTGATTTTAAGAGACTATGCTAATGCTATACATCCAAATTTCTAGAAAGGTAAAAATAAACGATCAATCTGGTACACATCATCAGATATTTATGAACACAGTAAATGCTCTTTCACCGTAAACTTGAAAGGTGCTTTTAATCACACAAATAATAATTCACCAACGTCAGTTTCGATTTGAACATAATATGTACGTGTGACGCCACCCCGTGTCCAACACGGCTCTCTGAAGATGTCCAGTAAAAAAACAAATCCAACCAATGTAAAATTCACAATTACGTACGATGACAGATATGGTACAATTAAGATTGCCAAGATGGTATTGCCAACGTGGGGTGCAATGGACAGTGTGGTCTTTTCTACATGTGGTGGAAGATATAGAAACACTTGGATAGTGTAGTCTTAATTTGCTACATTGGGTGGAAGGTATGGTAACACATTGACAGTGTGGTATTGAATTCATGTGGTTGAACATATGAGACCACTTGGATAGTGTAGTCTTTGCTACATACAGTGGAAGATATGGTAACACATTGACAGTGGGCAATTGGCTTCATGTGGTTGAACATATGGCAACACTTGGGTAGTGTAGTCTTTCCTTCATATAGTGGAAGATATGGTGACACGTTGACAATCTGGTATTGGCTTCATGTCTTTCCAAATAAGGTAAAACTCTGATATAGTAATACATTGATAATATGGGATTTGCTGCATGTTGTGACAAATGTAGTAAAGCAGTAATAAAATGGTGTTGACTACAAGTTCTGCTTATTCCATTCATTTTGGCAAAATGAATAACTATATGTCACCAATAATTCAACAAAATCGCACATAAAATTAGCTGTAATATATTTCCCATTCTGAGATTGTAAATATCCCATATATGCAGAAATGACTGAGTCGGTCACTACGAATGTGACACGGTTTTTGTTTTTACTGCTATCAGTCAGTTTGGCTTTCACTCCGTAAAAAGCAGCTCTAAACGAATTGATTGCATTTTGTTCAAATATTTAAAATTAAGGATACCATCACATTACTTTGCACTTTATTACAACTCAATCTGATTAAAATTTGATGTAGTGTACGGGCTTTAATTGTTTTGGCTATAAACTTATTTTAATTTTATTTTTTATTACTTTTGTTATTAATGCCTTTTTATTTTATTATTTTAGTTTGATTTTGTGATTTGTTTTAAATTCTGCCCTACATACATCCTTGTTGGTTTTCGCAATTACCAAAATTTCAAAAAATTAAATACTAGATCAAAATAAAATAAATATACCAAAAAAAAGCCAAAACTAGGATCTTATTTTAATCAGATTGATTACAACTACGGTTAAAGGACACTACTCACCAGATAGATGTGCCACTGTCGTCATCCAACCCTCACTAGAGGACGAATCGTACCTCGACGTCCAATCAATAATTATTTTATTCGTTTCCGAAAAATAATTACCAGAATGACTATATTCCGAACTGTATATATAATCTGTCATTGTAACAATGTCAGTTTCTTCAATAATTATCAATCGATCCACGTAAGCAATGTCAATGTTATGGATGGTGATATTGATGAGGTCACCTAGCATCGTGTGCACGAACCACACACAATTGTCATTAATGAGGTAATCATTGGGGTAGTTTGGTGACGTAATATACAATATTTCTCCATTCTGAAGGGTTATATTTCCACCGCAACCTGATAACACAGATAAATAAAATATATATCAGATATTTATATTATGTAGCTCACTTCAATATATAGTATTTATTGCAGCTAAAAGCAATTATCGGGTTCAATTATATTCACGGAAGTGAACATTGTTACCGCTTTGCAACCACATCCGGTAAAAACAAAGGTCGAAAATTATGAGAAAACTGTTGTGACTGTTGAGACTGTTTTGGACAGTGTTACAAGATTACCCCTGTGCAAAGTATGGTTGTTGAGTTTGTGCTGTTTATTTGACATAGAACGTTCTGTGACGTAGCTCCACACTAGTAATATCTACTAGCTGCAGATGCTCTTTATAAAATCTCAGATAAAATAAAACGTAATCATGACACGCGACCTGAAAAAATGAATCTATGTATTCAGGCGCCATATATATTTGTAGTCACTAGACAGGATCCATACACCTAGGCATTCACTAACCTGGACTCATAAATCTACGCATTCACTAGTCAGAGCCCATACATCTATGTATTCACTAGTCAGGACCCATACATTCAGACATTCACTAGTAAGGGCCCATACATCTAGGCACTCACAAGTCGGGCGCCATACATCTATGCATTCACTAGTCAGGGCCCATACATCTAGGCATTCACTAGTTAGGGCAATACATCCAGGCATTCACTAGTCAGGGCCCATACATCCAGGCATTCACTAATCAGGGCCCATACATCCAGGCATTCACTAATCAGGGCCCATGCATCCAGGCATTCACTAGTCAGAACCCATACAAACAGGCATTCACTAGTCAGGGCCCATATATCACTAGTTAAGACCCATACATCCAAGAATTCACTACTCAGGGCCCATACATCCAGACATTCACCAGTCAGGGCCACTACATCTACGCATTCACTAGTCAGGGCCCATACATCCAGGCATTCACTAGTTAAGGCCCATACATCCAAGCATTCACTAGTCAGGGCCTATACATCCAGCCATTCACTAGTCAGGGCCCATACATCCGGGCATTCACTAGTTAGGGTCTATACATCCAGGCATTCACTAATCAGGGCCCATGCATCCAGGCATTCACTAGTCAGGGCCCATACATCTATCCATTCACTAGTCAGGGCCCATACACCCAGGCATTCACTAGTTAACACCCTTACATCCAAGCATTCACTACTCAGGGCCCATACATACAGGCATTCACTAGTTAAGACCTATACATCCAAGCATTCACTACTCAGGGCCCATACATCCAGGCATTCACTAGTCAGGGCCTATACATCCAGGCATCCACTAGTCAGGGCCCATACATCCAGGCATTCACTAGTCAGGGCTCATACATCTATGCATTCACTAGTCAGGGCCTATACATCCAGGCATTCACTAGTTAAGGCCCATACATCCAAGCTTTCACTAGTTAGGACCCATACATCCAAGCATTCAGTAGTTAAGACCCATATATCTATGCATTCACTAGTCAGGGCCCATACATCCAGGATTCACTAGTTAAGACCCATACATCCAAGCATTCACTACTCATAGCCCATGCATACAGGCATTCACTAGTTAAGACCCATACATCCAAGCATTCACTACTCAGGGCCCATACATCCAGGCATTCACTAGTCAGGGCCCATACATCCAGGCATTCACTTAGTCAGGACCCATACAAACGGGCATTCACTAGTCAGGGCCCATACATCTATGTATTCACTAGTCAGGGCCCATAATCCAGGCAGTCACTAGTTAAGGCCATACATCCAAGCATTCACTAGTCATGACCCACACATTCAGCCATTCACTAGTCAGGGCCCATACATCTATGCATTCACTAGTCAGGGCCCAAACATCCAGGCATTCACTAGTTAAGGCCCATATATCCAAGCATTCGCTAGTTAGGACCCATAAATCAAATCATTCACTAGTTAAGGCCCATACATACAGACATTCACTAGTCAGGGCCCATACATCTATGTATTCACTTGTCAGGGCCCATACATATATGCATTCATTAGTCAGCGCCCATACATCCAGGCATTCACTGGTTAAGGCCCATACATACAGGCATTCACTAGTCAGGGCCCATACATCTATGTATTCACTAGTCAGGGCCCATACATCCAGGTATTCACTAGTCAGGGCCAATACATCCAGGCATTCACTAGTTAGGGCCCATACATCTATGTATCAACTATTCTGGTCCAATGTACGCATGTTCATTATAAAGGTAGATTTGTAGTTACAATCTGGTGAATCCGACCATGTCACCCATCGTTTAGGAAGATATTATATGGAGTTTAACAGTAAGAATCTAGCTTGAATAACCGATAATGCTAGTCGTATCTATACAAAGTACGTAATTATATGCATAAAGTGATTAAAGAGCTTTGTAAGTGGAAAACTTACTGGGCGGTCCACATGGTTGACTTGATATCCATACGTCATCAATTGCAATATCACTTGTGAAGCTTGTGCCACGAATCCCTTCAAACTCTATAACGTGTGATGAATTGTTAATATATGGTATCTGTGCAAAGCGCCAATAGTTATCCCTATTACCCGATCGAGTTACGAGCAGTTCTTGGTTATATGGGTAGGAGTTTGCCGTCGCATATACGTTGAGTGTACCCATTTCAGAGCCATACATATGGTACCAGAACTCCAAACAAGAACTAGCGACCGAGGGGGATATGTTTGTGGATTGTAACCTTGCAGTATCACCAGTATTTTGTCCCGTTGCTTCTATGTACATGTAATAACCTTAAGAAGAATGAACGTAGAGTCAATGTGAAGCTACATATTTACGAATGTAGTAGAATAACCACCCAATCCTAACACTCAACCAATCAGAGAGCAGCTTGTTTGTCGACAAGTTTTTTTCGACGTATCGAATTGTGCCTTGTATATATGCTTTGACTCAACTGTAAAAATGCATTTATAAAAAACAACTTTTCGTTGATAAACTGAAATATTTGGATTCTTTGATATTTTCAACATACCAATGTGACAAACATTGGATAGTGACAAATAAATAAATCACATTGGAACATAGCAGATGTACTATGATTACCATATGAAGTTCCTTCTGAATGATCATAGTATGGTCCAGTGTTGAGTGAGCTTGTACCACTATAGTCGCGTGTCCAGTCAAAATCATCACTGTTATCTTGTGTAAAGCCACATATAGCAGATGTCTCAAAGTCACATGCAACTTGCTGGCTCCGTATTCCTAAACAAGGCAACGAAGTTAACCTTATTATTGAAATATATTCACGATGGATTACATAAACAATTAGATGAAATCTTTTCCTTTGTAAAATGCATCTCACAAGACTATATTGACCAAGTACAATCAAACTTTAATGAGTTCACGACTATATTTTTCTCAGAATAATGACCGACACATTTATTGCTGACCAGGGAATCAAATGCATGGAGTCCAAGGTCGACAACAACTATGTGTGGTCGCTGAAAATATGCGCCACTGAAGTAGAATCAAATCGGCCAACATTGAAGAAAACTCAAATACATTTATAAATTGGGGAAGATTATGTAGTATATCAACAACTAGCTAACTATAATGGAATATAATTTTAAGTTGTATCCCATATATTTACTTTTTTTAATGACTTTCAGTGTTGAATAACTCATTCCTTCATTGTCATGAGAAAATCATCCAATATATATATTCAGTGCCATGTGAATAGTGACTTTCAGCATGACCATAACCCCATACATTCTAAATCACTATTCCATACATGGAATATCCAATTTAATAACCTTCTGAGTCTAAGTATTCACTGGCGTTTAACACACAGCATTGAGTATAATTCTGTAGAGGGTCGGCAAAGGGGATTTTCGTGCGTTGTAACCAATTGTTTTTATTTTCGTAATAATGTAATTTAAATAAATATAAAAAAAACTTAATTTCGTAGACAAGGTGTAAAACGTAACCAGCTGTTCATTCGTCCGTAATTTATACATAAATATTATTTTTTGTAAGCGTATAAAGCCTTTTCCAAATTAAATGTCGTAATTCGTACGCAATTTCCAATTTCGATTCTTGAACACAAATTGTAAAAAATATTATAAAAATGTAAAATGTAATTAGGAATTTGATTTATCTGTGACATATTCTGATACATAACACACAGTTGCTTACAGTGAACAAATCTTACCTTCCAAATTTACGCGACTATCTTTGGTAGTGCTCTTCTGACTGTCTTGTGTGGATCTGCGCGTTATCTCTTCACTTTTTGTAGTACGATATGGCTTTTGACGGGTTTGTACACTATCTGTAGTACCATCTAAGGAAGCAGACGTTACCTCTTCGGGCCGCGTGGTATGTGTTTGCATGTTATCAATAGTACCGCCAACAGAATAAGAAACAACGGTTCTGTCTACTACCTCTGCTGCTGCTGTTGTTTTCATCTCCATGGCTGGCACAGTCACTGTTGGTAAATTGGACTGAGGTGATGGAATGATTTCTAGGTTCTTGTATGTGAACTTCGAGGATGTTAGTCCGTCCCTCTCCTGGTTGATGAGCTCAGTTATACTTTGTGTAGATGGTCGTTGTTTACTGAAGTGTTTCATCGCTTTTGTTGTAGTAAGATGACTAGTGCGTGTCGTCATGGATACAGTAGAATCTTTGTAAACACCAAGAATCACCTTATCCACATTACCCTCATGATCAGTTACACTGACACTATCCCACTTTCCTAAGACATAGAACAAAAACGATTGAAATGCTAGTATGTAGATTAAGGTTTATATTTTAGTATATATACTACAGCATATAGTATTACCTATTGTTGATAATACTGTATGCCACAGTAAATATTTCTACAGGAGGTAACAGTGTATGCCATAGTATATATTTGTACGTTACGTAATAGTGTATGCCATAGTATATATTTCTACAGTAGGTAATAGTGTATGCCATAGTATATATTTCTACAGTAGGTAATAGAGTATGTCATAGTATATATTTCTACAGTAGGTAATACTGTATGCCATAGAATATATTTCTACAGTAGGTAATAGTGTATGCCATAGTATATATTTCTATAGTAGGTAATAGAGTATGCCAGGGTTTAAATTTCTACAGTAAGTAATAGAGTATGTCATAGTATATATTTGTACAGTAGGTAATAGAGTATGTCATAGTAAATATTTCTACAGTAGGTAATAGTGTATGCCATAGTATATATTTCTACAGTAGGAAATAGTGTATGCCATAGTATATAATTCTACAGTAGGTAATAGTGTATGTCATAGTATATATTTCTACAGTACGTAATAGTGTATGCCATAGTATATATTTCTACAGTAGGTAATAGTGTATGCCATAGTATATATTTCTACAGTAGGTAATAGTGTATGCCATAGTATATATTTCTACAGTAGCGAAATAGTGTATGCCATTATAGTATATACTTCTACAGTAGGTAATAGAGTATGCCATAGTATATATTTCTACAGTAGGAAATAGTGTATGCCATAGTATATATTTCTACAGTAGGTAATAGTGTATGCCATACTATATATTTCTACAGTAGGTAATAGTGTATGCCACAGTATATATTCCTACAGTAGGAAATAGTGTATGCCATTGTATATATTTCTACAGGAGGTAATACTGTACGCCATAGTATATCATTGTACAGTGGGTAGTTGTGTTTGCCATAGTATATTTTTGTACAGTAGGTAATAGTGTACGCCATAGTTTATCTTTGTACAGTAGGTAGTAGTGTTTGCCATAGTATATATTTCTACAGCAGGTAATAGTGTATGCCATAGTATATATTTCTACTGTAGGTAATAGAGTATGCCATAATATATATTTCTACAGTAGGAAATAGTGTATGCCATAGTATATACTTCTACAGTAGGTAATAGAGTATGCCATAGTATATATTTCTACAGTAGGTAATAGTGTATGCCATAGTACGTATTTGTACAGTAGGTAAAAGTGTACGCCATTGTATATATTTCTACAGTAGGTAATACTGTACGCCATAGTATATCCTTGTACAGTGGGTAGTAGTGTTTGCCATAGTATATTTTTGTACAGTAGGTAATAGTGTACGCCATAGTTTATCTTTGTACAGTAGGTAGTAGTGTTTGCCATAGTATATATTTCTACAGTAGGTAATAGTGTATGCCATAGTATATATTTCTACTGTAGGTAATAGTGTATGTCATAGTATATATTTCTACATTAGGTAATAGTGTATGCCATACTATAATATTTCTACGGTAGGTAATAGAGTA